GAATCTAGCTCTTGATATTTACAAACTGGTAACCAGGAAGGAATTAATTGGGTTTCCTCACTTGTGAAGTAGAGAGACTGTAACCCACCCACCTTCAAAAGTCAAGACCATATATGGGAAAGGCCCAAGTTTATGATACAGGTGGCTCCGTATGTAAGTTCCCTGAACCTTTTGTAGAAGAACACAGAGGCGGGGCCTTCAGGAAGGGATTAGGTCATGAGAGTGGATGGGACTGGTGCTTTTATAAGAAGATGACAGGAAGACTTGCTCTTCTCTCTGCTCTATGACATGTGAGGAAACAGCAAGAAGGCGGCCTTTGAAAACCAGGTAGCAGGCCCTGACAGACAATGGATCCGCCAGTATCTTGATCTCGGACTTTCCAAACAAATGCTTGTCATTTACACCTCCCAGTGTATATTATTATTATTGGACACAATACCTTTATTTTATTTATTTATTTATTTTTATATGGTGCTGAGGATTAAACCCAGTGTCTCACACGTGTTGGGCAAACACTCTATCACTGAGCTACAACCTCAGCCCCTAGTTTATATTATTTTTGATACAGCAGACTGAAATGACTAAGAGAGCAGGATGATATGATGAAGAGCAGCTGGTGGAAGATAGGGGAATATCACAGGATATTTAAGGAAGGCTTCTCTGAAAAATCAACATGTAACCTGAGATTAGAAAGACAACAATGGAACCAGCCACCTTTCCTCAAGTAGGAACAAACCTGATATTTGGGAAGCACAAAGAGAAAGTCAGGGGTGCTCTAAGCAACACGGTGCAGGAGATGAGGTTCTGATCTGCAGAACCAGATCAAGGACTCTGCAGTCCACAAAAGACATCTGGAGTTTATTCTCATTGTGACAGGAAGCCATTAGAGCATTCATGGCCAGAGTCAATTAATTAGATTTACTTAAGAGCTGGACCTAGGCGCGATCATGAGATATTAGTGAAATGTAAAAAGTCTGCCTGGTTAGAAAGAAGGCCGCTTATTAGAGGATCATGTAGGATAAGGTGATCATAGCGTGGTCCAGAAATGGAGTTAACTGGAGTGACAGAGAAGACAGAGATCCTGAAATTGCTGCTCCCCCAGGATATTAGTATTTTGCTGTAGCTATTAAATGGGCTCATGAAGAGAAGGGCCAGTAAGGTACAGGCAGAGAAGATATTCAGGAAACTGTGTTCCTTTTCATGTTTCCTCCCTTCCCCTTTGTATTGAAAGGAACAGCAGCTGCTGATGAAATCCCAAAGATGAGTGAAAAGTCAGCAGATAGAGAATGTGGGAAGAAGGAAATACAAATGTGCAGCCATGGGTGCACCACACTTTTGACACTTTGCGTATTTCATACTCCACTCTAGAGTTGTAGAGACATAAGCAGACCTTCCCTTAGACCCCTTGAGAGAACCGCAAAATCAAAACCTTATGGCAAGACAGGTTGGTGGAAACAAGCCTTTAGTATTACATTATAGAAGTAGCTTCTTATGAAACTGAAACATTCTATTACTAGCACAGGTGGTAAAATATTAGATTAGTAAGTGTTTTAGGTCACAGAATCATGCACAAAGTATCTCTAATGAATAAACACAGCTAAATTATTCAAAGGGCATGATATTCACCATCATTTTCATTTAACCAACAAACCAACAGTGCAATTCAAAACTATCTCTCTATAAATTTCATTCCAATACAGTTTGGCCAAAGGCATCTTCTAACAGTTTGAGAGCTATCTTAACCAATAAAGACTCCATTTGAGTGTTTCTCTTAAGTGATAAAATGCTGTGTTAAACAATTGAAACAAAATTAGCCCTCTGTAAGATTAGAATTTTAATATGCTGATTTGTTTTATTAATTTCCAAGGAGATGAAGTGTGTGCAGTTTAAAATGGTTTTAAGTTGGATGAGGTGGCACACACCTGTTGTCAAGAGCCATTGTGGACTCTGTAGGAACCAAACTGGCATTGTAGTCAGTGAATAAGAAGGTCTGGTATCTGGAAACTTCCAGTGGCACTTCTGCTGGTTAAGACAGCCCAGATACATATGAGTTCTATTCAGCTCCTCCAGGTTCCACACAGCACCAGTGACCTGCTGCAGCCACCTAGCCACACAGACTCCCAGAGATAGGTGCGGCTTCCCAAGATGCCAATCAAGCTGTCCACTACAAGACACCATGAAGCAAGACTCTACCCACTGAAACCTATCCCCGCCTTTGATGCTCTTCCTTAAATAAAGAAACGGAGCCGTTTTCTAACTGTTCTGTTCCAGCTTCCACCAGGACTGGGAGAACCCATCTGGCGCTCCCTTAAAACTAATTCTGACTTTGTCTTATTTCTTCACTAATTATTTCAGACTTTAATTCTCCTGTGGCCTATTCCTTCCTGTTCAGGAAGAATTACCCTGGCAAGGTGCAGGCTGCTTTGTGTTAGCCTATAATCCTAGCAACTCCAGATGCTGAGGCTAAAGGATCACAAGTTCAAATTCAGCCTTGGCAACTTGGAGAGACCCTGTCTCAAAATTTTAAAAAATTTAAAAGAAGAGCTGGGGATATGGATCAGTGGTACAGCACCCCTGGATCCAGTACTGCAAATAAAATAAAATGGGATAGAATACAAATAAAGCTAGTTTTAAGTAGAGAAGCTCAGGATAGAGCATTCTGCTGAATAAGAGAGCTATGTTATACAATTGCAGAAGAGCTGCTCTGATGAATTCTATACAGCTCCAGGATATAGGAAAACCATTATAAACTTCCAAGGAAAATAAAAATATAAACCATATGATGTATTAGTTTATAAAATAAAAAATACATATATCAGGAAACCCATTTATCCAGGTACATACAGCAAACAGTTAATTAACTGACATGCCAATTATGCATGTTAATTGACAGAGATGAACTAGAATCAATTAAATTCCCTATACACTTGGCTAGGCAAAGCAAGTTCTTCAGTTGCAATATAAATCTACTATTTTCCTCAAAGGAAATGTGCTTAAAGCCAAGTCTTCATGTGAACGAATGCACGCTCAGCACCGAAGCTCTCTGCCAAAATCATCCATACTGGGTACTTTACTGTGGAAATAAAATGTAAGATCCTTTCCACAGCCAAGAGTTCCATTAGAAAATGAGAAATTCAGCCTCGGCACAGACACAAGTGCTTGCGCTTTATGTTCCTAGCCAACTTTCCTGCTGAGTTTCTTTGGTGCTGTGCCTGCTGTGGTACTGAGAAGGTAGGGAAGGTCTTCTGAGGTTTCCACAGCTGCCATGAGGCACAGGGCACATCAGGACTGTGCCTCCCCTATTCGGACAAGGTTGTGAAATCAGGGTGCAGGGCCAGCACCTAATCATACCAGCCTGATTACCTAGACTGGCACTAAAGGTGAAGCTCTTTGCTCCCCCTTTTTCCCCAGTGTGTACACCAACGCCAGAGGGCACATGCTGGAAACCAGACAGGTGGAGAATCAAATCACGCCTGTTGCTGCACCAGAAAAAGCCTGATGGGAGAGGACGGAAGCACTGATGAGTGAATGGTGAGAGTGATCTATAGCTTTCCAGCTTGCTGAACCCTCCCATGTCCCGGATAACTGAGATCAATACGCCCTGGGAAATGTTTCACAGATGACAGAACAAAACTGTGCTAGATAAAGGTGTTTCGAAGCTCTGAGAAAAATCAATGCTTTCAATATTCTCTTTCATTTCTGTTATGAAGACAATGTATTTCCATATATGCATACAAGAAGTCTAGAAAAATAAAAATCAAAATGTAAATGGTACTACTCTACTGGGTGCTAATTATACATCCAGAAGGCTGCTTTTAGAATGTTATATAGTTGTCATTTCTGGATTAAGAAAGATGATAGGCAATTTCAACTTTTTTTAGGCTTGTCTGTGTTTTCCAAATTTTCTTGGACACACAACACTTTAATACCAAACAATATGTAAAATTATTGCCAGAAAATCTTTCAATTCATTCAATATTGAATTGATATTTGTGTAGCTGTTTGTACTTTATCAAGTATGTCCACATATATAATACATAAAAGAGTTAAGGGAAAGATTAATGCCATTTCAGAGAACAGGAAATAGGTTCTGAGATGTCACCAAACTTGCTCAAAAAGCCAGTAACTAGCAGAATCAAGATATGAATATTGTTCTCTTCAAATTCCATGACTTCTTTTCTCAATATGTGCTCATTAGGGTCTAGTATGACCTACTGATGGCACATAATCCACAGAATGGACCTTGCCTACAACATAAACAACAGATTTTGATATGAGATTTAAGCAAAAAGAAATATATATGTTTATGTAAATATATATAAATAAATACATACATCTGGGTGTGGTGGCGCATACCTGTAATCCTAGCGGCAGGAGGAAAACAAGTTCAAAGCCAGCCTCAGCAACTTAGCGAGGTGCTAAGCAACTTAGTGAGACCCTGTCTCTAAATAAGATACAAAATAGGGCTGGGGATGTGGCTTATTGGTTGAGTGCCCCTGAGTTCAATCCCCAGCATCCCTCCCCGCTGAAAACAAACAAACTAATAAATAAATGTGTATATATATATATATATATATATATATATATATATACACACACACACACACACACACACACACACATTTATTTATTTCCTCTCCTCCAAATTCAGCATTAAGAAGAGAAATGTAGGGAAAAAAAGAAAGAAAAACAATGGGAGTTTGGAGACTACAAAGCAGAGGCAAGAAGTGGGCAAACCTTCTTCCCTGGTTGGCTTCATCTCGACCCTATTCAGAAAGGGAAAAGAAAATTTGACAAAAATGGAACAAAAACACTTAGGGAGAGAAAGTACAGATGGCATCAAATAATAAATAAGGCTGGAAGTGTTACCTGGGACAGGTAAAGGGTGTAGAGATTAAGAAATAGAAAGGGCACAACCTGAGAGGGCTTTGGATCCCATGACAGAATTGCAGCCCGAACCCAGGACAGATACAAACCAAATCAGAAAGGTCTGGGAGTACCTTCATTCCTGCTGCCGCTGCAGGGCCACTGGGGTCCACAGCCTGGATGTGGCATGGCTTACTTCCTCGTACCACAAAGCCCCAGCCAACCGCATCGCCAACAATCTAGAGAAGAAAACCACAATTAACAATCGGCAGGCAGTCCCTGGCAATTTGCCTGTCCTGCCAAGAGACAGAAAACCAGCACAGGATTAAGCATGTGCCATGACACATCTTTCTCCACTTCCGCGCCATCTTATTAAGGGGATGGAATACTTTGCTTCTATCACGAAAGCAGGCATAGCTCTGTGGAAAATGTGGTTGAGAAACAGAACCTGTTTGGCAGAAGGAAGTTGCTTTTGGGAGGGCACTACTCAATAAATAATTGGCAGACTGCCTCTTTCTTAGGCTGCTCGACAATTCAATATCAAAATCTAGTAGATGGTTTAGAAGATCTTAAAAACATGGTTGAAATTTCTCTCCAAATCCAATCTCTACCCCAAGTTTGTCTTTTCCATCTGGATCCAAACGATACACTATTATCTAGCTATGTCACTCATGTCTGGAAGAACAATTTAAATTACTAATAATGAGAAATATGAAGAGCCTAGTATTTCTTGAAACAATTTTCTATACCAAGAAAATAAAGTGATCCAGGCGCAGTGGCATGCACTTGTAATTCCAGTGATTCTGAAGACTTCCACAGGAGTATTGCAAATTTGAGGTCACCCTGGGCAACTCAGAGAGACTGTCTCAAAAGAGAAAAATAAAAAGGGCTGGGAATATAGCTCAGTGGTAGAGCACCTTTGTGTTCAATTCCCAGTACCAACAACAGAAACAAAGAAATAAGGGAAGAGAAAAACGAAGTGAAAAGGTACAAAAAGTTCTTCATTTTTAAGTAGACTCCAATCCAAAAGTTATTTTAGAAATAGTACATAAACTTTTCCTATAGAATCACTAATATAATCGGCAGTTACATTCCCTGGGCGCTCTCAGACTCATCCTTAACACATATGTTAGTTGAAATACAGATGAAACGCGTTCGCAATCAATTACTAGCAATGCTGGCATAAAACTAAAAGCCTAAAATAAATACAATCCACCGTCTCTTCAAAGCTGGAGACTGGGGAAAGCAGGAATTTGGTGGAAATTCTCAAGATTCTTAATCACTTTAGCGATTTTAGGGTTTGCTATTATTTCGTTTATTATACAAAATTTCACTCCCAAATGCACGCTTTGCCTTTTCCCTGGATACAAATATGTATGAGTGCCTTCTCATGTTAAGTCCTCCAGCTCAGCAACAGAAGTAGCCATCAAAAAATGTTTGCATTATGTATGATTGTGGAAAGCTTGTGTGTGTGTGTGTGTGTGTGTGTGTGTGTGTGTTTCTCTACCTGAGGTAATGGAAAACAAGAGGAAAGAGAAGTGTATAAAAGAGGAAGTTGATGTAGATGTGAGGAATCTGAAAGGAAGGGGATGGGGGAGGTGCTGTCAATCAGAAGACTTCCACATTCTGAAGAAAACCTCTGGGGCTAGAGGGAGGCAGAGTTAAGGCTGCAGGGCCTTTCCCCAGTGGGTCTTCAGGAACCCCTCACAGCCACACAGGGCCCCAAATTAGATGCCTTCACAACTCAGGGTTTGCTGATATTGTAAAAGGCACCACTATTTACAGTGGAACAATTTATTCGATTGTTCCCTTTTTCTACCTTAAGATTCCCTTACTGTCTTAAGTGATTTTTAAAATTAAGTGTAATGCAGAAGAAATTGTTGGCATTATTTGCACTACCATTTGCCTTAGAATTCCATAATTACATTAGCATAAGTGCATAATGGAAATCTCTTTTTAAAAGACATATCAAAAATAATTTAAGATACCAAAATACTATGTGAATAACAAGTGAATCATGTAAAGACCTAATGTGCTTTATGTTTTAGTGTCTTAGTGTCAAAAAAAAAAAAGCCTACTTTCATAATATAGAGAGCAGGCTGTGCCCTCTCTGAGTTATTTCATGATATATAAAACAGCAGTGTTCAGGCTGGGCCTAAACCTGAGCTGCTCCATTTTGTAGTCTGCCATAAGCTACACAATGTTGAGTTTAAGTGCTCAGGTAGAATGACTCTATACCTTGTTTGTACAAACAGGCAAACATAAAACAACCATAAGCCAAAAACTGATAAATTAATCACACTAATAAAAATGGCCACCTGTGGACTCATCAAATTAATCAGAAGCACATGGACAGGTGTATCAAACTCATATGGGGGAAAAATAAAATAGGCTCATGAGCTTATCAAACACCCCAGACCACTGAATGAAACAACCCTCTACTTGAGGCCCAAAAAGGAGAAGCACCCTGAGTCTAGTCATGACAGCACCCTTTTCCTGTCACCTGTCACTCGTCCCAAGCTTGCCCAGGAAAACCCACAGTGATGAACCTCTGAATCTCTGTCCTTGGACTTTAGCAGAGCAGTTTCTCCTGCCAGTGATCACCATGCACACCCACTCCAAGCTAACATCTCAAGCTGACACTGTGAACCTGCTGTCCAGGCAGACCTTGGCCTAGCATAAGTTCCTGTGCTTTGACAGTTCTGCATCCCGACCACCTCCACTGACTCTTTGACTTTGCATTCATGTCTCTCTCTGCCTTTGCTCTCAATGCAGCCTCCTGAACCCCAATGGCTGCCTTAACTTCTTCTTGACCTTTCTGTAAACTGTGTATATAGTTGTATAAAGTATAACTTGAGTGTTACAGATACTAGAAACTAAGATTAGAGTAAAAGAACCTGTGATCTCCTGGCTTATGACTACCAGGTGACCCACAAATATTCAGTGAACTGCCACTGATCAGCATGGTATAGCCTGTGAATTTACTGTTATTCAATAAATTGTGGTATTCTGGAAAGACACAAATGTGTTTTGTTTATGTTAACATAGTTTGCTCACAACACATGTGAAAAACAAAGGAAATTTAGGACAAGTTTTCAGTTCAGTCCATGAGCTACACATCAACATGTTGACATGACAGAAAAATGAGTATCACAGGAGAAAAAACAAGGCATAAGCATACCGTGAATGTCTTCCTCGCGTACGGTGCTCCAGGAGTCAGGAGCTCCTCAGAAGTGACTGGCCTCTTGAGCACTGAGAAGCAGACACAGGGTCAGGGAATGAGTACCTGAAAGACCTTCCTTCATTCATTCAGCAGATACTTAGTGAACACCTGTTACGTGACCATCAGTGAACTACAGTGGCCAGGCCCTTGCCCCACTGTTAGTACTAAAATATCAGCAAACAAGTAACCCTAAACCCACCCACAGAGCTAAGGAGTTGGTGGGTAGCAAAAGGAATAGAAGCAGAAGGGACAAAGGACAGGGTCGAAGTTTTCCTATAAAGGAAAATGTCATGTTTTCTATTTTTCCCATTTCTCTCTCATAAATCCATTATGCATTTATATGTTTCAGAGGTAGGAAAAAAATAGCTCCAGCAGTCTGATAGTCAAGCTTTAAGCACTAACCCGATCCAGCCCCATTCCCACACTGCCCTTGTCCCATGCATTAAAGTTCTACTCATTTCCTAAATAACATAGGAACACAGGGCTACATATAATACTGCCTTGTGCCCATAGTAATAATACTGGTGAATTTTTCTGAGAATTCAGCATGTCCTGAGTATCATGCTAGGTAACCCATTATTCAGTTAATTATCACAAGAACTAATGAGTTAGGTTCATCAGTATCCTCATTTTATATGTGAGAAAACAAACCTAAAATAGTTAAAGTATTTATGGCCAAGGACCTAAAGCTAATTAGCAGCTTCGAGAATTAGGACCAAAGTCAGATGTTGAATATCCATGTCCACATTCTCAGCCACTGTGTTACACTGACCCCTTGCACTATGCTGTCTTGTAAGTAGACAGAAGGGCTCAGAAGCTCTGGAAGACAGGGGTGTGGTGTGGTGTCTGTTCATCCTAAGATGTCTGTTTTCAGCGGCTCACCTGTTGCTGTTGCCTACCAAGATGGAAAAGCCAGCAGCCAATTCCTGACCCGCCAGCTATAAAAAACACCCACAAATAACTTTATCATCTGTTGTATGCCTATTAAGAACTGGAGAAAGGATTTCCCCTTCCTTCTAGAATAGTTGATCAGGGACAGAGAGCATTCTAGTTTATATGAAAATCAGGGACTTAAGTGCCACAAAGAAATGGAAAGTGCCAGAGCCAAGCCATCCTGGACAAGTGCCAGCTCTAATTCCCTTTGCAAGTGGCAACCAGAGGTCAGACACCAGCCCTTCACAAATGGGCAGGAGTGTGGGGCAAGGCATATGTGATTTCCAAGCAGCTGGGTCTTATCTGTTGGGTGCAGCCCAGGCCTAACAAGATCTCTCAGTTAAAGGCAGTGAAATGCTTCTGTGGAGATGACAGATGGCTGAGATTACTACTTTTACTCTCAGAAGCTTATAAAACAGCAAATGATTTTATGTTCACTAAACAAAAGGGAGTAGGTTAAATATCCAGCTGGGAACAGAATCTCTCAGTAGATGGAAAGGAGATAAGAAAAGTGGTCCATGTTGGAGGGATGAGATATTTTTTAATCCTGGCAGACAATTCCTCTCCATGCCCCATAAATCCTCATGGAGTTTATGAATCTGAATACAGGACACCATCACACTGACCATTTATTTTAATGTACTTTATTTCTTTATTACTTTGAAAAACTGGAAACTTTTGAGGCTTGAAAAAATATCCTTAGAGTTCTTTTTTCATATCCTTGGAAGATAACACTTTAGCAGGATACTGATTATGGTCATAATATCTATAGTTTTTTGGGCAGAATGTCTGGCTTAAGGCATTTTTTAAATAAACTACCAAAAATACATATTGATGTTTCTGGGTGGTTAATTTTAAATTCTTTACTTTGAAGGCCTGTTTATCTGCTTGAGAAAAAAAAAAAAAAAAGATCATAGATGAGCTCACAAAGTACTGGCCACCTTCACAAGGGACTTCACCTCAGAGACTCAAGAAGGCAGCTTCCTTTTCTGCCCACTTATCAGTGAATTCTTCCCTCTGATCTGGGTGAAAGGGGAAAACAGGAAACAGTATAACCCACCTCGGAGCACATAGATGTGTTGCTAATTTAAATAATTAACCCTTTGTTCATATTTTATCATATGCAATCAAAAAAATAAATATCCAGCCTTGGTGGCACACCCCTGCAATATCAGCTGAGGCAGGAGGACTGTAAGTTCGAGGCCAGCCTCAGCAACTTAGTGAGACCCTGTCTTAAGTAAAAAGTAAAATAGGCTGCGAATGTGCCTCAGTGGGTAAGCACCCCTAGGTCCAATATCTGATATAAAAAAAAAGGTTTTTAATCTACCTATCCATCTGTGGGTGGGGGCTGCGGGTGTAATTCAGTGGTAGAGCACTTGTTTAGCATGTGCAAATATATACATATGTATATACACAAATATAAATATATGTATATACACACACACACACACACACATACACACACACAAATATATTTGGAAAAATGGAGATAGCATGACTGTCCTTTTTTTGAAACTGAGATCTTTTGCTTTTAACTTTGGGGAGGCCTTGCAGATTTCTATCCAGCTTTCATATATCCTTCTTCTTCTTTTATTATTGTGCTGGGGATGGAACTCAGGGCCTAGCACACACAAGACAAGCCCTCAATATCCTTTTTCTAGGAAGTCCTTCTCCTTTCTCATTCTCCCTTACAAGCACATTCCAGTAACAGCAAAACCCAGTAGAACATGGGTATTCGATAATTTTGCAGCCAGGACCAGGATGGAAGCAAGTTTCTTCATTTGCTTGCAAGTTTATTCTTGCCACCAGTTCTCAGAAGGCAGGGAAACAAAAGTTAGATCAGGAAAAGCAGCCACCTTCCCAGACAGTAGCATTGGATGACAAGTTTCTCTCTAAACCTTTTGAAGACCATCTTTTAGCTCTTCATTTTACTATGTTTTGATTTTTCCTCCATGAGGATGAGGTGCTCATTGAGCTAAGGGGTCATGGCCTCTCGTCTCTGTATCCCCAACATCTGATGCTGGGGAAACATGAACAGAAGGAACAAAGTCCCCTGAAAGGACACACTGAAGGGAAGGTGGAAAAGTGCAATGAACAATTGGAGGTGAGGATGTTCTCAAGTGATGACTATAATGATGTCACACACCATCTCATCCTGGGAAGAACAGGGAGGACCGGGCAGGTAGGGGGAGTGAGAAAGGGGTAATGTGGATGGATTGCAGGTTCCTGGGTGATGAGGTCAAGGGAGGATTGTTTCATAGTACAAGTTCAACATGCTTTGAACCTACATTTTTTCCCCAGGCATACAGAGACCATAGAGGTTGATGAGTAGATTTTAAAAGTGTAAGGTACCCAGGAATTCCAGAGACAGGTGGATTTGCATAGATCCATTCTTCCTTAAGAGCACGAGCCTCTGATGTGTCTCTGTACCCTCCAGCCTGGGGAAGCGCTGTTTCTCCTATTATAGTGAGCAGCTGCCCCTCGAGGACTGAGGGCTCCTCCCAGCTGCTGGGAGAGCTCACAGCAGATGGCCCTCAGCTGTCTTTGGGAACCACTTCTCTGAAGAGAGCGACACTGGCCAGTCATGCCTTCCTCTCTGGGATAGCAACATTTAAAATCTGGTTAACTTGTGGGTAGGTAAACAGCCCAGCCCTCTCAACACAACTCCATGTGACTCTATGGGGCCACCCAGTGCAGATCTTCCACTGGGGTCCAATGCAGCCTTCACTGAGACTGACTCGCCATCTAATTTCTCCTCTGCCCATTCTACTCTCTCCCCTAAGAGCCAGCTCTCACAAGATTCCTGCACTCTCCCTCCATTTCAGGGAGATTTGTTTACCAGGGAACCCAGCCTGCACATCTATCCCAGAACCCATAGCCAGGAGCAAGACCGCCTTTTGTGAACTCACCAGACTTGGGGTTGCAGAGCACAGGGGGGCTGCTGCTGAGGGTGGGGCTGCTACTAAAGTAGCCGCTGCTGCCACAGCTGCTCATGCTGCTCCTCCGCACTGCAGACACGATCTTGATCTCCTTGCTGGGGCTGACTGCAGAAGGGAAGACACACACAGTCACTGCGGGGGGCCATCTCGGTTCCCTGGAGCACCCACGCTTCTTCCAGAGGCAAGGTACAGCAAAGCAAGGCACGTTGGCCAGGAAAACACACCCTGGCCTTGGAGTCAGAAAAGCAGGAACTTGAGGGGCAGCTCTGCCACTTACAGCACAATTTGGCCACTGTCTTCAGTTCTCTGAGCCTCGATATCCCTGATGTAAAGTAACCATGTGAGCTCACAGGGTTAGTGCAAGCAGAAAGATTATATAATGTCCATGAAAGTATGATATTATTTCAGGAATGACCAAACCCAAGCGTTCCTGGCCAGGGTATAAGTTCAGTGCTGGCTACACGTGTGGTAAATAAACAGTGATAGTAAATGCCTCCTGGTTTCATATCAAACCATTAATCATTCAGAATCATGAAAGAAGGGGCTTAAAATATAGAGCACATATTCATACTTTCAAAGTGTTACTTGAGGCAGTGTCTTCAATTTTCTGATTTGGTTCTTCCTGCCGTGGAACAGGCTGGCTCTCAAGCAGGGGAAGGGCCACAAGTGAAAGAAAGAGGCTATGGAGAACACTCTGCCCACTGCCTGGCACAAGGAAGCAAAAAATAAATCTAGCTTTCTGGGGTTCTATGATGACTACAGCCTCCTTCTCAACAGCATCATGTGTTCGAGTCTGCTGGGGCCTCTTGAGGAACAGGTAAACCTTTGTACCAGTGCAAAAGTGAACTCTTAACTCTGCATTTGCATTAGGCTACAACCTTCAGAAGACACACAACTTTAGGTGTCCTTTGAGTCTGGCCAGGCTGACTTTGGAGCACAGGCTTAGGCTGCTGATCTTTGGCTAGCTTTTATTTTCCCTTCACAGCTCTTGCTTCATTCTCTCCTCCAGCCCAGCAATGTCTGAGGAACCAGGAATGCCTGGGGCTTAGGTCAGGGCCAGGAGAAAGTAAACATCGGAGCCAAGAGAACTCCATCCGCCACTTCAAACCCTGGGTAAGCCACTCAATTCCTCTCTGCCTGTATAACGAAGATATGAAAAATCCTCGTAGGTTTGTGGTAATAATTAAATGAGAAAATTCACCCGACCTATCTTGTTTTAGTACCTGGGACTTAGAAACATCTATGCATACACTTGTAAGTGTTCTCAGTCAAATCCTACCCAGAACCAAGACAGGACACTTCCACTGGTGCTAGGGGAAGCCCAGTACTTCCAGACCTTCAGCCAACAAGTCCCTTGCGTGAAAGCCAAGTTTTCCGAGAAATTGAAAACACCCCTTTAAGCATCTCACCCTCTTAAACAAAATGACACTTTCTTCAAGTTCACCTTTTCTAAGTTATCTTTGTGGATACCAATCACCACCACTGGTGACATACAATTAGTAACTGAAAACCCGAGACGGCTTGTTTTACACATTACCACAGGTTGTGTGCTTTATGAGCTCCTGCTGCTGCTTTTCCTAGTTTTCTTTGTGTTGCCTCTTGATGATGGGTTGACAATCAGTTGCCTTTTAATTGTTTTTTTGTATACACACATATATAAGTCCTTTATTTGTCCTTAAAATAGCCTTTTAAAGTCAAGATTTAGAAAACCTAGTCATTCCTGGGTATGGTGGTGCACACCTGAAATCCCAGTAGCTCAGAAAGCTGAGGCAAGAAGATTGCAAATTCAAAGCCAGTCTCAGCAACTTAGTGAGGCCCTGAGCAACTTAGCAAGACCATGTCTTAAAATAAAAAATAAAAGAGGCTAGGGATGTGGCTCTGTGGTCAAGTGCCCTGGCAAACCCAAGTACTAAAAGAAAGGAAGGAAAGAGGATCATTGATGACATATAATTGTGAGCCAGGTGTGGTGGCACACACCTATAATCCCAGTGACTTGGAAAGTTGAGGCAGGAGGATTACAAGCTTGAGGTCAGCCTTGGCAACTTAGAGAGGCTCTAAGCAACTTAGGGAGACCCTGTCTCAAAATTAAAAACACAAAGGGCTAGGGATGTGGCTCAGTGGCAAAGTGCCCTGAGTTCAATTCCTAGTATAAAAAAAAATAAAAAGATTAAAAAGGAGGAAGAAGAGAGTTGTTTGTAAATGAAAAGTAAATAAGGCATGAATGAGCTTGAGTGATCTTCTCTAATTCAAGTACATAATTTCATAAGACAGACTTCATGGTATTTAAGCCTGAGAACAACTTGTTTTTTGCTTTTTGTTTTGTTTATTTGCATACTTCTTGGTTATTCTTAAATAATAATCTGCTGGAGAAACAGTTTCACAAAGAAGAATTATTATTCTATCATTTCTCATAAGGCAAATATAGGTTCACATACATCATGGGACTGGTGTACCTGACATGAAGCTGGTAGATTTCCGATTGTCATGGCTCTGCTTCCTCAGGCAGAAGGGGCTGTCATGAGCCTCCTGGGAGGAGGGGGACTTTTCATTGAGAAGCTCCATCAGTCTTCTCCTCCGACGGAAGTTCATTCTGAACTGGTAGAGAAGATTGCTGTCCACAAACGGGTGCTTGTTGGACACTGGGGAGAAGAAAGAGTCGGTGAGGATGCCTGGCATCCTGGCCGCCCAGCACTGCAGCCAGAAGCCAGAAGATGCCGACAACAGAGGCAGAAGCCTCTAGAAAGAGGTTAGTTCTATAGCTACCACATGGGCTTGTGGTCTCTCCACAATTTGCAGTCCCAATTGCTTCCATGTGTCATGCACTTTAAAAATTTGCTAAGCAGTTCCTCAGGGAAACCTTCCCAGACCTCACCGCCAACCTGAGCTATTCTCTTCAAAGTGGTCTGCTGGCCCCTGTGTCCCCTTCATCACCACACTTACTGCCCTACACTGTCACTGTCCAGTTTCTCCCCGTTTCTCCCCCTAAACACTAGGTTATTTGGGGCAGTGATCGTAGCTTCATTTGCTAATGTATTCCCAGCACCTCGCTGAAGTTTAGTCATGACAGTGACAACAGTCGTTCACTTACTACAGGCCATTTTACTAAGCACTTTATGAGACAATTTCATTCTCACAGAGACAATTTCATTCTCTTTTGTTTCATTTGCAATGCTGGGAGTTGAACCCAGGGCCTGGTGCATGCTAGGCAAGTGCTCTACCACTGACCCAGACCCCAGCCTCATGATCACTTTGCAAGGTAAATGTGGCTGTTCCCTTCTTCTTCTTCTTTTTTTTTAAATCTTCCTTCCCTTAATTTCACTGTGGAAAAAGTGAGACTTAAATTGGTTTAGTAATTTGCCCAAGGCCACACTGCTACAACTTCTGAGCCCAAATCAACATGGGCCACACGTTGACAGAGTTGTACAAGTCACAGGCCACAGACAGTTAGAAAAGACTAAAGTTATGGTAAAATGCCACCTTCTCCAACATTCACTCTTCAGGTTCATCATGGAGTGTGTTGTCACATACACACCTAGTGAGTGGACATCTCTCTGTGACTGTGACACTCACCATACTGTCGTGTTACAAGGGTTTTCTGGAGATGGGCAGAGGGAGAGCACATCTCTTTCCCCAACTAAGTCACTCTGCCTGAGAGCCCAGACTGGCTTAGCCACTCTGTCATCCTCAAATCTTAGTCTATCATATATGCTTAACTCAGGGAAGGTACTGGATAAATGGCTGAAAGAGATTCGAGCATGATAGGTAAGAAGGATGAGCACCGGGCACATAATAGAGCTGACTCTGAACCCTTTTGCAGCCGTCTGTGCAGAAGTTCCACCCAAACCAATCTGTGTGCTCCTGTAGTTCCTGAAGGGCTTGCTGGGCCCTGGGAAGAAAGGACAGGAAGGACAAAACATTTGGTTTTTCCTAGTTTGAAGGCTTTTCCTTTGCTCCAAAATTATACCAGGATTACATTTTTATTGTCCAGCATCTATCCATCTACTTAGCTAACAGGTATGGAATTAGGCAGACTAAATGTCAGGTACTTTTCACACCTAGTGTTTTACAAAATGAGGGAGAAAAGATAAAATTTTAAAAAAATACTCACTAATGGCAACTTTTTTTTTAATTGTGAGATTCAAAATTCCATAAACCACTAGGAAAATAATCAAATGTAACCTAGTACAATTCACATTAGCCACTTGATCAATAATGCTAACTTCTTCACGCCCTCCTTTGGTGTTTCATGAACATTATTACATCCTCTCTAGGTCAACACCAAAAGTGCAATCTAGGGTGGTAACTCTAATTGTTACCCACATTTGTTAATGTATATTTATGCTGGTTAAACATTAATCTTGGAGATTAAATGTGAATGATGGAATGGAAATTGAAACGGAAGAATAATTTATTAGCACCTTTAAAGCCGATGCCAGTTCGTAAAATGCCTTGGGTTTACAAGGCACTCGATCAGAGTCTCAGAATTTGAGATCCCTGTAATGAGACTATTCCAGCCAACATTTAACCTAATGATTCATATGGGTGATTCACAGTCTTTAAATGATGATAAACTATTCACTTTGGTCAAATGAATAATATTGGCCTTAAAGAAAGATACACTTAATTCAGTGATAATTCTACATGTTCTCAGTAAATAATCTGTTGTTAGAGTCACAAGATGCTCTCCTAATGCTATCTGGACCAAGAAATAAACCAATTATATTTTGATGTGATCTCTACAATTACTGCTTCCCTTGTTCACAGATTTTAACATAAATTTCCATCACAACACTGAGTAATACTATAATAAAAATTTAGAGATAAGTTATTTATTTTTGGCCATATTTTCTGAATTTATTGATTTAAAAAACCCTCAAGCTGACTTTAGCAATGACATCTTAAATTATGACCTGCAAATACACAGATCTATATATATACTTATTAATACCTACTGTTTTCTCTTGGCACAGTGTATTACATAAAAGTGTTGGCTCTGGTATAAATAAATCCTAAAAAATAGTCTGAATACAAACAAATTCCATAACAGATGAAAGTACATTAAAAGTATTTTTTAACTGCAGTGGAAATTCGCCTGCTAATCTAATCATGTGTCTCCTCTAGCTTTAATTACCAATCTAGTGTTTAATTCCCAGTCTCCATCCTCCACCTCCTCAGCTCTACACCATCTGCAGCCAAATGGAAAACATACTGTCTAAGATAAAGAGACAGGGTTAAATTTAAATAATCTTTAATCATCACATATTGTCAAACAGATTGTAAGAACCCAACAAATTGCACTTTAATTATTTTACAACCACTGTTGTTGTTTTTACTGTTATCATTTGCTGACGATACACTGCCATTTGGCTTATGAAAATTCAATTTTAGAAGCCATTACACTGAATGCCCCACATAAGTTTCCAAAGACTGACTTGAGTTTTAATGCCTCAGGAGCAGCCACTGTCCCTCTGTGAAACGAAGGTCACCGTGTGTTCATCCACCCAGCTGTGCGCCTTGGCACATGAGTCAAGTTCTCCTCTCAGTAGAGAGGAGGGACAGGTGCACAAATCGCCTGCATTGTTGTCAATACTTAATTTTGCCTTAAAGGTATTCTTTATCCTTTCTCTCTCATTAAAAGTTTAACATCGCAAGTATTGAGTTTCATGCACTTGCTTTGTGTGAGTAACTGGAAGATGGAACATGTGATTGTAGCTTCAAAAGTTGAAGGAGTGCAGGTTGTCAGCTGTATCACAGCCTCAATAAATCACACCAATTCACTGACTCCACAAACCAGTGCTAAGTGCTGCTAGAGTCACACATGGTCCCAGCTGTCTATCTCAGCACTGTGATCAAGAGTGATCTGCCACTGGAAAGCTCATTAACACCAAAGTCTGCCGAAAGAGACACTATTTCATATCAAAACAAAACAATTAAATCAGGCCTTTATTGAAAACTCCCTTATGCTAAATAAAGTCTTACAAAATAATACCTCTCCATGAAGAACTCAGGTTTTATAGTCAGACAGTCTTGGTTTCAATCCCAGTTCTGCTGAGTAGCTGAATGAGTGATTTGGGCAACTTATTAAACATTTCAAATCTCAATTGTTTTCTGCACAGTTTCTATATAAAGAAGAAATGGGGTAACTCATGCAAGAGATCTGGCATGGCAACTAATATATGGTATTTTCTTTCTCTATATGGTGTTTTCCTTCTCTTTCTTTTCTTGTTTTCTTTTGACGGTGCTGAGCATCACACCCAGGCCCTTGTGCATGCTGGGGAAGTGCTCTGCCACTGAGTTCCATTCCCAGCCCAACATACAGGTTTTCACATATTCTTTGTCTTAAAGACTTCCAGCCTTGGATCATTTATGTTCCTGTACAGAACCCATTTCCTGTCTTCTTTGCCCTTCTTTCAGAGAACATTTTGCCCTTCTCTCATGGGCAATTCTGTCACCTATGATGCATGAAAAATATGATCTCTTAACCGGACATCCAGATCAAGTTTAGCAAGAATCCCACTGAAGATATTTAAAGTTCTGAAGGCAAAAGAAATAAAGGAGTATGTTAAGACACAGTAAGCTTAGTAAGCTTCTTAACAATATTAAGAAAGACAAACACTTCTTTTATAATTATAATTTACATAAGCAGAGATCCAAGAAATAACAATGGGTAAATTGTAATCATTTATATTCCAAATAGAGAAAGTTAATTCTGTCTACATTTTAATGTGATATTCTTCATGTTAAATACAAAAATTATTTGCTATACAAGCTATTTAACCTTTTTAAATAAAGAAAAAATAATGCATGATCTAGACAAAAAGAGAGAAGGAAAAAACAAATCAAGCAGAACAGTTCACAAGTGACCCTAAAACTTGTAGGTGCTCCAGGTGACCATTTCTCAGATTCCAGTGTTATGGAAGATCTTAATATTATAGTATATGTTGCAACATATACAGTTTGATAAGTTTTATTCTTTGCTTCTTAGCACTATTCATCTATAAACAGGAGACAATGAGAAGAAACACATGTTCGAAGCCCACATTCAATGTCCAGTTGTGATCCTATCAACAGCTGTAATTTTTTAAAAAATATTTATTTTTTAGGTGTAGATGGACACAACACAATGCCTTTATTTTTATGTGGTGCTGAGAATCGAACCTGGGCCCCGCCTGTGCTAGGCAAGCGTCCACCGCTGAGCCACAATCCCAGCCCCTCACGGCTGTAATTAAAAACAAATTTTGTATGGGGCTGAGCTTGTGGCTCAGTTGTACAGCACTTGCCTAGCGTGTGTGAGGCACTGGGTTCAATTCTCAGCACCACGTATAAATAAGTGAATAAAATAAAGGTCCATCAACAACTTTTTTTAAAAAAAAGGAAAAAAAACTAATTTTGTTACTTGATTTATAATTTCTGGGACATCCTTTGCTTTGGTGGAATTCTCTAGGGGTTTGGCTTGGGATATGAAATAGGAAAGGCAGACATAGCCAGAAAGCCGGGGCCATTGTAAACACAGAGAATTTTACTGCTTAGGATGTGTGGGGCTCTGGAAGCACTGAGCTCAGGTTTGTTTAAAGAGAAACAGATCCCTGCTGACTGGATGTCTTGACTTACAAAAAGCATGAGGGAGATGTCATTTGGT